TTATGGGCTTTATTATGAACTTATATTTTGCATATTGTAATTTCTTGGTTCTAAATTGTGCACATTATTAAATACAGGATTAACATGGAAAAATACATTTATTTGATGTCTTTTGTACAGCTTACAGCAGCCACAGACAGAATCAACGCTCTGCGCGAAGAGCAGGAACAACTTAAACAGGAAAATGCAAATATTCTCCAATCTAGTCAGAGGAAAGAGGAGGTGAGAATTGCAATAGAAATGTTATGTTGTGAACACAATCAGTATGAAATAATTTTTAAACATCTGCATCTATATTTACTGGAAAAGTCGCTAGAAAAAGTTTGGAATAGACCCTAAAAATGGCCAAATGTAGGCCTGTCTGTTGGTTTATTACTAATAAATTAATCCATATAGTATTTTGTCATTCCAAAAGACAGTTTTATTTACTCACTTTGGATTGTTGTTTAGGTGACTCTACAAGACAGCCAGGTTGAGCTAGAAACATATCGACAGACACGGCAGGGGCTGGATGAAATGTACAGTGTAGTTTGGAAGCAATACAAGGAGGAGAAACGAATCCGGCAGGTAAGAATAAAATAATTCAGCTCTAAATGTAAAATAATTTTCGAATTTGAGTCTGTATTGTATTGCATAGTATTAAAGGAATAGTTCAGCCAAAAAAAGAAAATATACTCACCCTCATGTTGTTTCTTTTTTCTGAGATATTTTGAAGAATGTGGGTAACAGTTGCTGGTTCCCAATTACTTTCATAGTATGGAAAAAAAAATACAATGAAAGTCAATGGGGTCTAAAAACTGTTTGGTTACCTACATTCTTCAAAATATCTTCTTTTATGTTCAACAGAAGACAGAAACAGGTTTGGAAAAAATGTGAGGTTTAATAAATGATGACAGAATTTTCATCCCTTTAAATGCATTAATGTAACTATAATATTTTATGGAGCCAGTCAAAGTATCTGAATAAACTGTTTGGCAAATCAGGAGCTGCAAAAGGAGCTGGAGCTGCAGATCGGTCTGAAGCAGGAAATGGAAGTTGCCATGAAACTCCTGGAAAAGGACACGCATGAGAAACAAGACACGCTGGTCGCGCTTCGACAACAACTCGACCAAGTCAAGAATCTCAACTTACAGATGTTCAACAAAGCACAGGTGTTGCATCTTATTGTCTGAACAAAATGTTACTGGAATAGTAACATTTACCTGTTACCAATTGAAACTTAAGTCTTGTTGTTTAACCTATAAGGAGTCTGACCGAGTGGCCCAGAAAAAAGTGGAGGGCATGCAAGAGCTGGAAGAGAAGATGATTCAGATGGAAGCAGCCATGAAGGAACTAGAGCAGAGGTGCCAGGACATTTTTAAGGAATAATTCACTCAAAATAATTCATCATTTGCCCACCCATATGATGTTCCAAACCTAATGACTTTGTTTTCCTTATGATCTTTGGAAGAATGTAGGTGAAACAAGTCATACAGGTTTGAAACAACATGAAGATCACAGATATGTATGAAATGATATGTGTGGAGTTTTTCTAGACCTGATAAAGATGAGTACTTGCTCCTTAGGCTTCAAAATTCAGAAAATGTGCGCAAGAACACGGATGAAAGCCAGAGTGAGCTGAGATCGGAGATGAAAGGAAAAGTGAACGCTCTGCAGAAGCGTCTCGCTGACCTCGACACACTCCGGTAGTGTAAATCAAGCTTCGAGAAATGCGCTAACTTTGCTGTCATAGATACCTTGAAGGGATAGTTCATCCAAAAATAAATTTTTTTGTCATTTCTCACACGCGCTTAAGTTGTTCCAAACCTGTATGCATTTCTTTCAGCTGATGAACACACAAAAAAAGATATTTTGATGAATGTTGGTAACCAAACAGTCGACTTCCATAGTATGGAGAAAAAAAATACTATAGAAGTCAATGGCTTCCATCAACTGTTTGGTTACCAATATTCTGTTGTGTGTTCAGCAAAAGAAAAAAACTCATACAGGTTTGGAACAAGTGGAGGGTGCATAAATAATGATGGGTGAACTATCCCTTTAAATTTAAACCAGCTGTAAAATATTTGTTTCGAATTTTTCATTTACTGTTATAATCACTTTAGAAATCTCATCCTGCATTACAGAACAATTTTTAAATAAATTTTATTTATTTAATATATTTTATTTCAGTTCATGTTTATTTTATTAAATTTATTTTAATGTATTATTTTTTATTTTATGTATTCCCCCAATTGTTTTTGTTCTCTAAAGATGTATTTTTAGTTGAAATGTAAGTTAAAAAATAATTAAATAAAAAAAGATGGGGTGAAAAAAAAATTTTTTTTTAAAGGGGTCATAATTTCACCCCTCTAGATTTAGATTTTTTTTTAGGTTCAATTGTTGTTTCTGTTCTCTTTTCAGGGCAGGCCTGGAGTCAGAGCTCAGCACAGAGAAGGAGCAGCGGCAGAACCTACAGAGGGAGCTACACAGAGAACAGGACAACAGCGCAGAGCTGCGCACACAACTGCAGCAGCTGCAGGGCCTGCAGACGGTCAGATACACTGCTGCTTCAGCCATAAAACTAACCAGTACAAGTCAATAAAGACTTTAAATTATACAAAATCAAAGCAAGAGTGAAGTTTTTGTATTATGGTGTTAATCAATTATGACACTCTGCCTTTGTTTCCACAGGAGCTTCTTGATCTTCGACAGGAGAAGAAACAGCTCCAGCAGCTGTGTGAGGAGCAGGAACAGGCTCTACAGGACATGGGCCTTCATCTTAGCCAGTAAGACAACTCCACTCATATTTTCTGATATTTCTGGACAATGACAGTTGTCTTCTGTAGAGCAGCTTTATAGCTGAATCGAATTTGTATCATAATAGGTGAACTCTGCAACACTGACAGTCTTTTTGAACTGAATTGAATCACCGCTGAACTGACTTCAGCTGAATGATGCTTTTGTCATTTTAGAGCTGCTTTACAGCTGAAAGTGTTCATTTGCAGCATGCTAAATGTCTTGAACTAAAATCCTGCTTTCAGATCCAAACTCAAGATGGAGGACTTCAAAGAGGTCAACAAAGCCTTGAAGGTAAAAGAGCTTCATGAGGCTAACTTTATTGTGTCCATTTGCACAGCAAAGCTAAAGATCCCTTCTTAGTATTGCTTTCCAAGTATTCCCTTTGCTACTTTGCTGTGTAACTTTTTGTACTTACTGATGTGACTTACTTTTGTAAAATTGTCTTTACTGTCACTTTTAATAATTTTAATGCATACTTAATAAAGGTATTAATTTTTTCCCCCCAATAATTTAAGTAACAAGTAACGTTCAGTATCCCAATAAATTTGTTTTTTGACAATTGTCTTATCAAGGGTCATGCCTGGCTAAAAGACGATGAAGCTACACAGTGCAAGCAGTGCCAAAAAGAATTCTCAATCTCTCGGAGAAAGGTGAGTGATGCTGCACTCTGTCACTACACCTCAGTCTTTGGCATGTAACTCAACTCGTTTTTTCTGTTTGAAGCACCATTGCAGGAACTGTGGAGACATCTACTGCAACAGCTGCTCCAGTAATGAGCTGGCTCTGCCCTCGTTCCCCAGACCTGTCCGCGTGTGTGACATCTGCCATTCCCTACTGCTCCAGAGAAGCTCCATCGGCTCCACCTGACAGCATTCAACATCTCTGCTGATCGTGTGTGTGAGAAACTACAGGCCAGCTGTATTCATCAAACTCTCAATCTCTGTTTTTAACACTTATGCATTAATTACTCGGCTTCCGTTTGACTAAAACCTTTGATTGTTGCAAAACCATATGCAAAGTTTTTTTTTGACAGGAAGACGCAAGGATAATTAGAAACGAACATTAATTTGATTGTATTTATAATGATAGTCTCCATTTTAGGGAGAGCACCAACATATATAAGCCTTTCACGTGTTCACCAAGAGTGGATGCAGAGGATTCATATTTCGATACTCTTCTGCTCCAGTAATGAGCTGGCTCTGCCCTCGTTCCCCAGACCTGTCCGCGTGTGTGACATCTGCCATTCCCTACTGCTCCAGAGAAGCTCCATCGGCTCCACCTGACAGCATTCAACATCTCTGCTGATCGTGTGTGTGTGTGTGTGAGAAACTACAGGCCAGCTGTATTCATCAAACTCTCAATCTCTGTTTTTAACACTTATGCATTAATTACTTGGCTTCCGTTTGACTAAAACCTTTGATTGTTGCAAAACCATATGCAAAGTTTTTTTTTGACAGGAAGACGCAAGGATAATTAGAAACGAACATTAATTTGATTGTATTTATAATGATAGTCTCCATTTTAGGGAGAGCACCAACATATATAAGCCTTTCACGTGTTCACCAAGAGTGGATGCAGAGGATTCATATTTCGATACTCTTCATGCTTTTTAGTATCCTCTTATCAAAATAGGACAGAATTAATTTTGTAATGATTTTGTAAATTCTGTTCAATTTAATTTTTTAAGGAGACATGGAATTACTGAATTGTAATCTTTATCACTAATTTTCACTATTTTTTAAGTGTTTGTGCTTGTGCTATAAATATTTAATCTGTGCATGTCATACAAAAAAAATATAGCACTATCAAAGGTCAAAAGTTGGGACCAGTTCCTGTATGAAGTTAGTAGATATGCGAATTGTTCAACAAAATGTGTAAATCATTCATAAAACCATTCTTACAGAAATAGATGAATGAAATGGGTTTTATGAACACATTTGTTCTGCTAATATCATGAATGAGGCCCAAAGTCTGTAAATGATTTTTCATTGTCCAAAGGCAAGACCACATTTATAGTATGCAAGACTAAAGAGCAGATGGATTGTATTTTCTCCAATTTTTGTTGCTCATGCCAGTCAAAAAAATAATTTAAAAAAATTTTTTTAAGGCTCTCGGAATACAAAATGCCTGTTTTAGATTGTATGACAGTGTCCTGTGTTGTACCCTCTTTTGTCTCCTGTTCGGTTCATAAAGCTGTAATGAAATTTCTGAAGATTTTATAGAATTGTGTACGGTTTAATAAACACTGCCTCAAATTAGTATTAATCCATCTGTGAAGCCATGAGGACATTTGTCCACTACACTGAAATCACAGGTGATACACTGCATGTGAAAAAAAAAGCAAATGCAAACAGTAACATGCATCTAAATGAAACCCGTCCACGTCCCACCATGCTTTAAAGTTATACAAAAATCTTTTTTTTTCTAAACTTAAACACTCTTTTTAAACCATCGGTCTGGAGTAAGCATTAAGTACATGCAAAACACCTTTGCAGGAGCCAAAAGTTTAAGATATGATGCTACAATCACTGACAGAGTGAAACCTCCGTGTGCAAAGATGTCACGCTGTATGAAAGGCTTTGATAAAGTTGGCCTAAAGAGGAAACAAATCACCTCTTTACTGTAAAAACAGATTTACAGGCACCTCTCCAGTGTGATACATGGGCTGTCACATTTCAGCAAATAAAGTTTCTCTTTAACATAAATTACTACCTCTAGTCAGGATTTGTTTTCAACCATGTCAAAAGGGAAAAAGAAGTTCAGCTCCAAACACAACTTGGAAGGGAGCAAGGAACAAAGAACAAACAAATGAAAGAGGACACTGTTCAAATGAAGGTTATAAAGCAGCTATGAAAGGCCTGGAGGCTACATCCCCCAGCCTCCCCCCATGCCGCTGTTGAGGCCGTTCATTCCCATGGACCCGCGGCTCCCTCCACCGTAGTAACTGCTCCCCATTCCGCCCTGATTACCTGACAGGAGAAAGAAATACACATTTTAGGACCAGGGAGTTCTCAGTGCGGAAAGAATTGCCATTTATACTATAACTCTCAAGGCCTGGTCACATGACAAGCAATGCAGGTTTGTCATGGAAGGGTGATTTACATGGTTATTATAGTTAACTACACAACAATTAAAACCATTACAAAAACATTTGTCAATTGAAATACACAATTTATTTCAGCTAGTTGCCAAGTTTTCATTTTAATGTAATTTAACAATGTAATAAAATAAAAAAAACTAATAAAATAAAAACTACAAAATGACAAAAACAAAATTACTAACACTTTGAAATAAAATGAAAACAAAATACACAAATAAAACTTAATCAAATTATTAATAATTATACTATTATGCGACATTTTTAAAATTCCACATGAAAAGCAACTAGATAAAGTTTGTAGACAAACTTTGCTGTTGGCTTGAAAAAGCCTAGCCAAAAAGTTTGAAGTAGTTTTATAAGCTTGAAGTTTAAAGGGTTTCAGTTTTAAATAGTTAAGTTTTAATTTACAAGTTTTATAAGCTAAAAACAGCTGATTTAGCAAAAAAAAAACTAAAACCAGCTGATTTAACAAAAAAAAAAGTTAAAAACTAAAGAGTTAAATAGGTTAAAACGCTAAACCTAGTTCATTTAGACAAATGAATTAAGATAATTAGACAAAAAAGCAACAAAAAAACCCCCAGCTAAAACCAGCAGATTTAGCAAAAAAAATTAAGTAAAAAAAGCCAAGGAAACGACTTAAACCAGTTAATTTAGCAAACAAAAGCAGTAAGCGGTATCATAAGAGATATAGAAGTCATCGTTAGCTAACTATGGTCGCAAGTTCCATTAAACTCTATTGGTAACAACGGAACTTGCGGTTTAGTTGTTTGTTTTTACACAATGGCATAACCCATGTAACTATACATCAGGTGAATTGTTTGGCAATCAATAACTGCACTTTAGTTTAAATGGTCAGATGGGGTCAAAGGTGAAACCATTTAAACTTTGGGTGTAAACATTACATCATTTAAAGTGCATGCAATCCAGTGTCAGAGATAATGCTGGTTTGATGATTGGGAGACTTTGATGGAGGTCATGTGATAGGGCCTTGAGCAATGCGTCAAATTCTAACCCACTTGGACCCCTAAAAGATTCCACCAGCTTAAAGAACTCTCTGGATGGTCTATTTGGAACCCAATTATAAATCCCAAAATACTAAGCCTTAACCAGCAACATGCATCAATAAACCAGCACAATGCAATCAATAAAAACAAAAGCATTTTTTCTTTAATTATATATCCTGTGTACAAATTCTGCATGTCCTAATTCAGAGACTGCATCTTTCAAAGGCAGCATTCCTAAGACGTCAATGCGGGGCGATAAAGGCTAAATGCATTAAATGGAGCCTCAAAATGAGTCCTTCGTTTCCCGGGCCATGAGGGCTGCAACAGATGAATCCTTCACAGTCCAAACTATCCCAAGATTCACTGTGCACCAGTAATAAGAGGACTTTTATTGAGAGAAAAAGCGGAATTGTACTTTTAAATGTAGTACTGGGTTTCAATTTACTCTGATATTTAACTTATCAATATAAGAGTCAAAAAGTCTAGTACAAACTTTACTGCCACTCATCAACAGCAGCTGTCACAGTTTCTATGCAACAACAGCAATCCACCATTAGCGAGACCATCCCATTTAAACAATACTTGGTTTGGCCTTCATAGACTTCAAAGAATGCAGCCCCTGTATTGGGACACAGATTATGTCATTTATAAAATGATCAAATTAAATGCCTTTGTTTTGGTTAGTAAGCTAACCATCACCATAATCTACGCATTTTACATGCAACCTTTACTGAATTGTGCTCTCTGTTAAATATGTGAACATTATGATATTGAAAGGTACACATTTATTCAACAGAAAGATACTATGTAGTCAATGTAAAATCCAGACAAACTTTATTAAAATTATATTATTGGCATTGAAGTACTGTTTAATTGTGATTGTATTTACCTGATCAGCTACAACAGGATAACACGAAAGGCTTTTTAATCAGGCATTACAAACAGCTACCCCTAGGGGTCCAAGGGCGATAGGATTTGTCAGGGAACCGGCTAGCAGAGCTACGGAAGAGCTGACACTCACTGTAGTCACTGTAGCCCCCCATGCCACTCTGATTACCATAACCTCCGCTGTAGCCAGAGCCCATCTGTTGGCTGCTGTGTCCGTATGACGACTGGTTTCCTGCAGAGCGACAATTATGCATTTATGATAGCTGCTCAGATAGAGTTACTAATGTCTGAAGGAGAGGTGAAGAAGGGGTCTTACCCATACCGCCCATCATTTGGCCACCGTATCCTCCACTTCCGCCCCCTGACGTGGAGTTTAGGAACAGCTCCACATAACGGTGTTCTGCATGAGAATAAAGGTCCATTCACACCAAGAACGATTACAAAATGTATTTAGCATCCACTCCAACAGAAGATAACATTGTTTATTATAAGCATATGCCGCAGTTTTGTCGTCTGCCGGTTTAAATGCTAAGTGGATTCTGATTGGCTATCAATGTTTTTGTCATTCATCAGCTTGAAAAGTTGCTTTGTCAGTTAAGCCTAAAGTATACTTCCGTTTTTACACATCCGCGAGGTTCCGCGTACAGTGCGTGACGCGAATTTTAATCATCGGAATAGTACGCGCACCGTCTGATTTTTGTAACCGTGCATACTTTGCGCATTGATTGGTTTTGCACTAATCAGTTGTTCCACAAGGTGGCAGCACTGGCCCAGGCCATTGTTTTACAGTAGAAAATGAAACTAAAGAGACAGAACAACAACAACAACAAAATAGCGGAGAGTGCAACAACAATAGACAGCCGCACTGACAAGCGCTTGTGTCAGGGGGTTATGAGAGAGCCGCAACTTTAGTTGAAAAGAGTACAAAGACATTTTTTTTTCGGATATAACTTCTAGAAAAAAACAACAGATGCTGGACAAAGATGAAGCTTTCCATAGTGCATGTGTCGACCGCCTACGTTCGCTCACACTATCAAATGGAGGATACTTTGAAAGGTTGTGCGTTTGACTGTACACATACGCTAGCGAACGCGTACAAAAACAAAATATACTTTGGGCTTTAGGCTCCAGAATATCATCTATCATAACCAAAGTTTTATTAAGGTGTTCAGTTTCAATAGAAGAATGCAGACATTCAAGACCCATTAATAGGACTGAATTTAAACGTATAGTTCACTCAAAAACAAATTCTGTCATCATTTACTCAATCTCAAGTAGTTCCAAACCTTTATGAATTTCTTCCATCTGCTGACACAAAAGAAGATATTTTAAAGGATGTGGGTAAACAAACAGCAGACTTTTCATTTTTGGGTGAACTATCCCCTTTAATGAAAATCATTCAGTTTTACTTCTGTTTCCTCTCCTAACACTTACGCATATTGGCTTTGTCCTTCGACATGGCTGCCACGGCGTCCTCATGTGTGGCAAATTCTACATCCGCCTCACCCGTTACTCTTCCATCAGGGCCGATCTCCAGGTGAACACGCACTGGGTTCAGTGGAGAGAAGAACTAGAGAAGAAAACATGGAGAAAGACAGTGAACAGGACATGTATGTAATCAAATAAACGCTTTGTATTAACAGATACTTGAAATAAACACATATGTGTGTATAAGGACTCACATTGTATATGTCAGTTTCAGTGGCTCTGTATGGAAGGCCTCTCATGTGCACACAATGTCCCGTTGTGCTCTGAAAGGAGGAGCTGCCGTCTCCATAACGACCATCTTTGAGGCAAATAAGAGCAAGAACAAGTTAAGAAAAAAAATATTCTGCCTGATAAGCCTTTCGCTGTCTGTTTTACTTAACTGTGCACAAGTATCTTGACAGGAAGCTGTAGAAACAGGGCAAGATTCAAAGATTTATCTCAGAGTAAAAGCAAAGCTATTCCTATATTCTTAATTTAGCAGAGGCTTTCTTATCTAAAGTGACATAAAACAGTTTATTACAAGGAAAGTTCCTTGAAATCACATCAGGTTTGAAACTACAACCATTCAGTTAGCAGTCCAAATCTGCAACTATTATTTTGGAACTACTTCAACCGAGTGCCATAGTGTCTACATTTTTATCTATATGCACATTACCATTCAAAAGTTTGTGGTACATTTTTTCTTTTAGTTTTAAAAAATGATACTTTAATTTAGCAAGGATGCATTAAATCAAAAGTGACAGCAAATGTTCTTTTTAACTTTCTATCAATCACATAACCTTGTAAAAATGAAACGTATCCACAAAAAAAAAAAAATCTGGGGTAATCAAGATTTTTTTTTAATTGATGTTTTTTTCAGCAAGGTAGTACCTCATCAAAAGTAACAGAAAATACTTTTATATAAAGACAATATTTAAGACTACCCTATATTTTTATTAAAGGGGTCATATGTTGCTAAAAAGAACATTATTTTGTGTATTTGGTGTAATGAAATGTTTATGCGGTTTAAGGTTCAAAAAACACATTATTTTCCACATACTGTACATTATTGTTTCTCCTCTATGCCCCGCCTTTCTGAAACGCGTCGATTTTTACAAAGCTCATCGGTCTGAAAAGCGAGGTGTGCTCTGATTGGCCAGCTATCCAGTGCGTTGTAATTGGCCGAATCAAAGAAAAAGGAAAAATTGAAAATCGCATCATATGACCCCTTTAAATGATTATAAATCATTAAAGAATCCTGAAAAAATTTCTCAGCTTCCACAAAAATATTAAGCAGCATAACAATGTTTTCAACATTTCAACATAATATTTCTTGAGCAGAAAATCAGCATATTAGAATGATTTCTGAAAGATCATGTGACACTTCTAGGATATTATTGACCAAATAAATGCAGCCATCTCATAAATGCATCTTACCAACCACAAACTTTTGAACAATAGTGAGATATATTAAAACAATATTCAAAGTTTAATTTTATTAAAGGGGTCATATGATGCGATTTCAAGTTTTCCTTTCTCTTTGGAGTGTTACAAGCTGTTCGTGAATAGATAAGATCCCTAAAGTTGCAAAGACTAAAGTCTCAAACCCAAAGAGATATTCTTTATAAAAGTTAAGAGTCAACCACGCCTACCTAAAACGGCTCGTTCTAACACGCCCCCACATACCTACGTCACGATCTGGGAAGATTTGCATAACGCCGCAGAGCACACCTCGCTTTTCAGACCGATGAGCTTTGTAAAAATCGACGCGTTTCAGAAAGGCGGGGCATAGAGGAGAAACAATGTACAGTATGGGGAAAATATTTTTTTTGTTTTTTTTAACCTTAAACTGCATAAATATTTCATTACACCAAATACACAAAATAATGTTCTTTTTAGCAACATCATATGACCCCTTTAAGCTCCTTCAACAGTATTTGTAGCAATGTTGATAACAACCAAAAATACTTCACCTCCACCGTAGCCTCCACGTCTCATTCTCTCAAAAGAGACTCCTCTGCCCATACTGTTGTAGCCGCGGCCGCCTCCAGGCCTGTCATAGGGGCCCGGTCTCTGCATGCTCATGACCTTACGCTGGGGTTCATAATGTGTGCGCACTTCCGCCCGGCTGCTCTTGAAGATCTCTATATACCTAAGGACATAAATGCAGAGTAATGGCACCAGGGTCTACCGGCAAGAGACAAGAGCATTCCTGCGTGCAGTATAAATAAGGGCTGTCTGAAAACGGGTCTAATGAACAAACACCCTTAGTTAGAATGAGTCTGGTATGCCACTAATTAACAGTCAGCCTCTCCGTTCAGTGACTTTACATAACAGTTTCCGAAAAAAAGAGACACAGAGAGAGACAGAAAATAAAGAACCCTTAAATATTTAGTTTCATTCAACCCTTCATTACAAAGAACTTTTCTTATGGTCACCCGAAGGCAGCTGGCAATGTGTTACTGTGGTCTGGGTCTTATTGGACTTACACACTGCTTTCGTTCTCTGCTAGCAAAACACTGTTAGGGTTAACTTTGTATTACCTGTTTAACTGGGTCCTCGTGATCTGAAGTCTTCAAATGGTAGAACTGAGAGATTCCTATTGCATAAAACTTAGTGCTGAGTGGCCATGTGACTAACCTATCGGTCAAGCAGGGAAGGGTTGACGTCAAACATCTCAAATAAAAAGAAATGTTCCTTGAGCAGCAAATCACCGTATTAGAATGATTTCTGAAGAATTGTGACACTGAAGAGTGAAGTGGTGATGCTGAAAATTCAGCTTTGGCATCACAAGAATAAATTACATTGTAAAACTTTCAAATAGAAAACAGTTATTTTAAAGGGTTAGTTCACCCAAAAATGAAAATTCTTTCATTAATTACTCACCCTCATGACATTCCAAGTATGACCTTCATTAATCTTCAGAACAAATTAAGATATTTTTGATGGAATCTGAGAGCTTTCTAATAGTGGTCGACCGATATATCGCCAAGGCCGATATATCGGCCGATATTTGGCATTTTTCAGATATAGGCATTGGCCGATACGTTTTTCTGTTTGGCTGATGCGTTCGAGGCGGGACTTTTATTTTGATGGCGCTGAGAGCGGCAGCGCCTGCGCACACAGTGCTCACATTCTCCCTCTTGTTCGCCGTTGTCCTTAACAGTTCTGTTTAATACGGATAGAAGTCTGTCTAATAATCCGATAGAACTGTTAAACAAAGGAATTAAAATGTATACAAAAAGTATTATAACGATTGCCTTTATTTTATTAGTAATAGAAAGGCAAACATTATACTTTCTCATTTGCCGTCAGCATTCAGCAAATACGCATTTACATAATTTAAACAAATCTTTGAATGGCTAATGAAAATTTAATTTCACAAACCTTGCAAACTTAGTCGAATCCAGTTGTGAGATCTTGTGAAGTGTGCATGTGACCTGAATGCTTGCGTGTTCTCTGCGTGACTTTCGGTCCGTGCAATCTGAATGCTTTAAGCATTAAATTCGTGATTTCAAATTATGCTGTGCTTTATGCATTTGCCCACCGTCATATTCATGTCATTTTCACTGTGTGCTGTATGTAAAATGAGTGTTACCTTGGCTTTATTTGAAAAAATATGATTCCCAATGCACACAAATTTCTCAGAATACGGAGTGCTTTGTTGGATAGTTTACTTCGTTTTTAATTATATTTTTATTAAATATTTATTTATTTGTGGAAAATACTGTGTCATCTAAAGTATAAGTATGTTTATTTTACAAATGTATTTTTTAATCCATTTTCAAAAGATTTCAAATTTCTTAAATATTAATGAAAATAAATACATTTATATCGGCTTTATATCGGCCACCCTGTTTTCCAAGATATCGGCATCGGCTGTCAAAAAAGCAATATCGGTCGACCACTACTTTCTAACCCTGCATAGACAACAACGCAACTACCACGTTCAAGGCCAAGAAAGGCAGTAAGTACATCATTAAAAAGTCCATGTGACATCAGTGGTTCAATCATAATTTTATGAAGCTACGACAATACTTTTTGTGCACAAAGAAAACAAAAATAACAACTTTGTTCAACAAATTATTCTCTTCCGTGTCAGTTTTCAATGCGACTGTTTTATCTCTGCTTGTAAACAAGGTGTAGTGCATCTGGTTTCTACGTCAGAACGGCGACTCCTGCATAAGCATAAAAATATCTTAATTTGAGTTCCAAAGATGAACAAAGGTCTTACGGGTTTGAAACGACATGAGGGTGAATAATTAATGACAGAATTTTCATTTTTGGGTGAACTATCCCTTTAAATTGTAATAATATTTCACAATATTACTCATGTCAAACATAAAAAGTCCAAATACTGTCGTATTAAGGTGCAATTACAGATGAAATCCAGTCATTTAATAGGAATCCACATGATCGTGAATTTCATGTGAGGACAAAAGATTTCCCCTTGCAGATTTTGCAAGAGGTTTATGCTTTTTACGAATTCATTACAACCATCAGAAAGCTGCTTGGTTTGAAAGTGTCTTCTATGTGAACTGTGCTTCATACATCGCTACACTATAGACAATTTACGATGAACGCTTTTTGCCCAAATAATTTTGCAGAAATTCTACTGCAACTTTAATACATCTGGCTGATATAACTGCACATTACAACCCAAGATGCTTTGAATGCTCATGTAAATGACAGTTAAGAATAAAAATTCACTAAACTGTCTCAAAAGTGCCCACATTCAGTTATCTCTCTAAATCTACACAGTGCAACTCAATGGTTCACTCAGCACTAATAATACATAATCTTTAAGGCTTCTGGACCTCATCTTCCTTGCTTTTTTTGTCTGCCGTCAAATCATCTGTGGTCATATCTTGCCATTTCTGCAGTGGATGATTTATTGAGGTGAACACCATAAGAAAAGCAACGTATCCAGGCAACCAACCAGCCATCCCCACCTGTGCCCTATTCTTTCCTTGTGTTTCTTTAGAGCCTTTTCGGCTATATCCTGTGAAGCAAACTGCACGAAGGCCTCCCCCGTACTCCTCCCCTGGAAGTCCACCGGCAATGTTATCCCATTTGGCACGATTTCCAACCCTTCAACCCAAGGACAGATAACCCCAGTGGGGGACAAATTAAGTCACAAGCCCATTAACAAGACTTTATATTACTCTATGGGTTTCTCTTTATGTCAAGTGAGAAATGGTACTACATAAACATTCCAAATGGGGCCACAATACATTTGAACCTTTTCTGGCACAATTTATGGATAATTTTGTGCAAGAAAAAGAAGGGTCACTTAAATCAAATGCCTCTTGAGCTTCTGTCTCAACCCATCTCTTGTTTATTTGGTAAGCCCCAAAAATTACCTAGATTGTTGTGCACCTGTTTTAGGTATATAAAAATACAAAAAGGGCTGAGGCAGTTTAATTTAGAAGAAAAAAGAAAAGAAAAAAGAAAGCACAAATTCTAATAATTACATAAACGGACAACGCTGGATAAAAAAAGTGACCCATCTTGGTCCTCCTGGATGGTTCAATTCTTAAGACTCAATACAAGTTTCAACTATTCTTAATTTTAAAGGTTATATGACTGCAACTGAGCTCTTTAATTGAAATGTTCAAAGCTCATTTAAGTGCAAATGATGGTCCGATGAACTAAAATAAACCTATGATAAATGGTGACATACTGTTTAATTTTGAGTAAAAAGGGCAATTCGAAATTCCTATCGGACATACCTGCAAAAAACTGGACAATTTCCTCCTTGCTGCACCCAAAAGGCAGACCACGAAGCCTAACCAGGCCGTCCCCTCCTGTGTCCGGGCAGTTCGGTCCAGTGTGCTTCAGAACCCAGTCCATCTCAACACTATTGGATTTGAATACTGAAAGCACGTGTGAATCCATCAGTATTTTATCTTGAATTATTTGGTGTAGTTCACCAAAAACAAATTATTTGCTGAAACCCTCAGGTCATCCAAGATGTAGATGAGTTTGTTTCTTCATCAGATTTGGAGAAATTTAGCATTACATCACTTGTTCCCCAATGGATCCTTAGCAGTGAATGGGTGCCGTCATAATGACCAAACAGCTGATAAAAAACAATCACAAGTACTCCACATGACTCCAGTCCATCAATTACCATCTTGTGAAGTGAAAAGCTGTGTGTTTGTATGAAACAAACCCATCATCAAGACATTTTTAATTCAAACCATTGCCTCTGCCTTGTCTGAATCAGGAGAGAAATATGCACAGATCAAGCATGGTTTAGAAGTGAAAACAGTCTGAAAGTTCTAAACAAATATGTTGATATCGACTTTGGAAACACAAGGTTTTGCACTTCACAGGACATTAATTGTGGACTGGATTCATGTGGATTATTTGTAGATTATTGTGATGTTTCATCAACTGTTTGGACTCTCATTCTGATGGCACCCATCCATTGGTAAGCAAGTGATGCAATGTTAAATTTCACCAAATCTGTTCTGATGAAGAAACAAACTCAACTACAAAGATAGTCTGTGTGTGCATACATTTTCAGCAAATTTTCATTTTTGGGTGAATTGTTCCTTTAGGGATCCTAACTAAGGCAAAAGCAGCTGCCTACCTTCTACATAACGGTGGCCCATTGTTTCACGATCTTTCTTCACTGCAATTTTAAGATCTTCTTCTGATTCGAACTCTACAAATGCTTCTCCACTTGGTCGCCCTTCCCGTGTGTATGTGAAGTGTATGCTTGTCCCATTGTTTGCAATTTTGCACTCTAAGATGAAATTTAGCTAGTATTAGTCAGGCAGGGAATAAAACCTAAGTGGAAAAGATTTAAGCAGAGGATTTTTTTTTACCTGAGAAAAACCTCTGAACTTCATCAACAGAACAGGACCACGGCAAACCTCTGACTCTCACCACAAAACCCTCTCCATCCGCCATGCTGGAAACAACGCTGTTTAAACACAATATATAAGATAGTGACTCTATAATACGCTATAGTATAACACAAAATATAATATATCTTTTAAAGTGATCTGAATTTCAGACACTTCTCTGCATTTCAAATGAAGCATGACTGCATGGTAAACTACCCCAAACATACAACATATAAAGTAAAATGCTAAGCCAAAATAAATAAATAAACAACAGGGGCCAAATATTAATTAAAAGCTAAACCAATCAATCATGCGCCTAAACATTTCCTATTCATTCTATATTCAGTCAAAACGAAAAAACAAGAAAACCCCTTTAAGCATAAAGCAGGGCTCTATGTGAAAAGCAAATAGTTATTTACATAATAAATGAGGGAAATAACTGAGGAAACGAAACTGTTAGCGTAGCGAGCTAGCTGAACCACATACCTTCTGGTAAGCCCTGCAAAGACGCTTCTTCTACTCAACCGAAGCAAAGTGACGTAATTTACCTACCCCTTAATAAAGTATTACCATACAACTTCTTATATATGTCGACAATAAGTAAATTAATAATAAAACGCGAGAAGCTGAACTGTGCTCACGTATGAACGAGCGCTAAACGGCGCTCTTCCCTGATCTGAGGGGGATTGAGAAACTAAAGAGGCGTTTGTCGACACCTTCTGTTTAGGATGTGAAATTACAGCGCTCTAAATCTATATGACATCTACCTAAATTTAGTGTGCCATATTATTTCAGTACATGAAGTACACTCTCTATCTGTATCACTATCAGGAACTTGTGTTACTATTTAGATACGAATAATCCAAAACGAATTAAACATTTCACACCTTTGAACAGATTATATCATAGACCGTAAAAAAGGTTTATATTCGCATTTGCCAGGCCTATCACTCAACCAGTCTGAATAAAAGATCTTTTTTTTTCTTTTTTCTTCTGAGAAATATACAATATATAATATAAAGGCTGCAGTTACAACCCTATTATTAATGCTAATTGTTTTTCAACTGAGTTTAAAACTGTGTTTAGAGTTTAGACATGTTCCAAATATCATTAACACACAACAACAACAACAACAATAATAATAATAATAATAATAATAAACAGCTCATATAAAATTAACTTGACCCCCTGGGGTTGGCAAACATAATTTTCATAAATGTTAACCTTTTGCTAACCATTTGTTGAAAAGGTTGTTTTTAAATGTTGTAGGCTATCCTATAATTATGGAAGCACGTTTTTGACAAACAAACAAACAATCAAATATAATATAATAAATAAATAAATAAATAAATAATGCTTTGTTAAGTTATAATTATGACGCAAAAAGTCGAAATTATGACTTTTTAATCATTTTAATAATTTAAGCATCTTTTAATCGCAACTTTTTATTTATAATTATGACTTAGTAGCTTTTTCATATATTTCACCGAGTATCTCTTTTTTTTTATATTTAATTTTTATCTTATACCTTTTTATCTAATAGATTTTTAATGTCATAATTATTATTATAACTAACGAACTATTTGTTTATTTATTTATTTGTAGAAACGTGGCTTCCATAAATACATACATTTGTCTAAGTGCCGTGTTCAAATTCCCAAAAAATTCAAATCCTTGGCAGAAGTTTTGTAAAAACAAATCTATTTCCCTGACAGATCTGGCAACCCTGCATGTTACACGCCTGTTTTTGTTGTTGCTCAAGTGTCGTTTATCACATGATGCGAGTCACGTAGTCTGAGCTGTTGTTAAATGCGGCGCACCCGCAGCCCTCAGCTCCAGCACCGCGGACAGACAGCCTCTCTCAACGAGTACCACGAGACCAGCGCTGTCTGCAACACGCTAAAAATATCTTTGCCGTTTTTTATGTTGTTGAAACTTTGTTGAGCTAAGTTTCATCCTAAACAAACACTTCATATAGACGATTGTTTAGAGCCCTTACATATCATCGTGTTCAGTGGCACAGAGTTTTGAGCGCATTTTAGCCACGATGTCCGCCAACACGCAGCAGAGCAAGAGCTGCCCCATTCCCACGCGTGTCCTGCACCTCAAAGACTGGTCCCAGCTCCCAGACTGCTACAGTCAGACCCCTGGAGGAACACTCTTCTCCACCACACCAGGGGGTAAGACTGTGCCATGGACTCTGCTTTATGCCTGTACAGTTAGTGTAGGTTGGTGAACATGTATTTAGAGGAATATAAAAGATTATTTTCTGGGGGAAAACAGCCTGAGATCTTGGCTGCTCTCCCAGCATGGTGTGTTTGTTGGTTTTAGGTGAGTTTTGTGCACTTGTCAATTGATCAGTTTGTGAGACCAACTTAAACAGCTAAGACCATGTTGTCCAGCCAAAGACCAACAAACCATCTTGGTCTAGTTTAGGCTGAGTTTTCATTCAGCAGTGTGTGTAAAATTTTTGGAGAGACATGTTGCCGTCCCCTACTTTACACATTAAAAAAGATAGATAGATATTGTGGACTGTGTACATCAAATTATGCAACAGAGCAAGCAGATGTTAAGATGATCACAAATTAAATTAAAAACCATTTTTTCCCTTAAGCATTATTTTTGTCCTGTAAATCTTTTATATTTTTGCATGAGGATGATTGTCGTATATGATTGTGATTTTTAACCACTGAATCTCATTTCTAACTGGTTGAACTAATGGTGTTACAACTCACCACTCACCATGTGTTGAACTGCACAATCTCAACTATTTTAAGCAATATGAAAGTCTGATGCAATACTTTTTAACCTTGCTATATTGGTTGACTTGCAATAAGACACTATATTATTTATTTATTTGTTTATATATTTATTAATAAATAAAGCCAGGGGATGGGCATGCATTTTAACAAAGTACATTAAAACTAAAACCTCCGTTTATTTTATTAGATTGTAATGATCTGAGATATAGTGTGCCCGCAAAACGTCTCACTGGTACCCATTCCTGTTGCTACAGAAACGTTTGTTTTGAACAACAAGTTAATCATTTATGGCAGACCATCTGCAGCAAGATAGCCCAACTGCCGTGCTTGTTATGTAACAATGTCTGGTTATCTGATTTGCGACTTGCATGTCCCATATGATACTAGGCACTGAGTTAATCTAATCTTGTGAAAAACAAATGCTTGACCCCTTTTCTTAACGAGCAGGACCCTCCACCCCACGTTTCTCAGTCTCCTTTGTCCCTCACTAGTATATCTTTCGCATGTGGCTGTAACTGTAGCACATGCAGAGGAGGAGGCAATTCTTAGAAACACCCCTCCTCCTTCACAGCTGCTGTGGATTTCAGGAATAACAGAACTCTATGTGCTCGGGAAAATGGGTTCATTGGGGCCACTGTATCATGGATGGTTCCCTCAGGGTGGAAGCAAAATATCAGATCGGAGGCATGTGCATTTGTATATATATATATATATATATATGTATGAATGAGTAAATCTCTAAAGCAGTAAATCTTGGTAAACCTTTTACAAACAAAATACAGAAAGAAATAAAATGCTTAATGGTCCATTTAAGATTTTTTGCATTGTGTTAAAACATAATATACATAACAAATAATTCATACATAATATCCCCTGGTTTCACAAACAAGGCTAAAGTCCAGACTAAAATGTCTGTCTGAGCTGTTTCAACTGAAAGAAACTTGCACTTAGTGATCTTAAAATATATCAGTTCCATTGTTTTGTCTCAAGATGCACACGAGTAATGTTTTTTTCTAAGGCACGTTTATAAAAACTACTTAAATGTCCTAATTGAACTATGGCCTAATCCTGGCTTAGTCTAAGCCCTGTTTGTGAAATCAGGCCTATATATAATAAATAATAATAAAAGTTGTAATAAATAAATAAATACAAATTTGTAAAAGTTGTGCTTAATTGTCATGAACATAATGTCACAATTACTCCCAAAATTTAAAATAATTAAAAACAATAATAATAATCTAATAATAGGTTTCTCTTCTTTATAACAAAATATAATTTCACTTTTCTTTTTTGCTGATTTTGGGGTGAAATAATGCATACATCACTGGGTAGTATTTGTTGTACTGTTTCTTTAAATAACAAATAAATTAACACAATGTCACAGTTTGCAAAAATTGCACACTTGCGATATATTTAATTGTCCTGCAATTTAAAAACTTCCACTATCTTGAATTCTAAGAAGCTGAAGAGCAATCGGGGAACAAAACATGCTTCAGCAGAACAAAGTCCTGCTGAAACCGTTGGGTTGGTCTCTCTGCATTCCTCTGACCAGAGCAGCTGAGTTCACAGTTGAGACCACTGTTCGTCCAACCCCTGTCACCAGCTCCGTCCACACCTGCTGATTTTGGGGTGAAATAATGCATACATCACTGGGTAGTATTTGTTTTACTGTTTCTTTAAATAACAAATAAATTAACACAATGTCACAGTTTGCAAAAATTGCACACTTGCGATATATTTAATTGTCCTGCAATTTAAAAACTTCCACTATCTTGAATTCTAAGAAGCTGAAGAGCAATCGGGGAACAAAACATGCTTCAGCAGAACAAAGTCCTGCTGAAACCGTTGGGTTGGTCTCTCTGCATTCCTCTGACCAGAGCAGCTGAGTTCACAGTTGAGACCACTGTTCGTCCAACCCCTGTCACCAGCTCCGTCCACACCCTGCCCCTCCCCTTGTCTCTCAGCCCTCTTTTGTCCAGAACACACTGAACTAAATAGCAAAAGATTGCATAACATGTTTTTCAGCCACTGGTAGGACTGTTGGGTACAGTATAGCTTCAGCTACAACAGAGATGGCACTATGTTTAACACCTGATAGCAGTCAGAACAAACCTAACCGGGGCTAGTTAAGCTCCACAAGTTTGTTCACAACATGTTCATCTGCTACATTGTGGTGCCCTCATATCTCGGCTCTGCTTGCTCGCGTGCAGATGTGCTCAAATTTCCTAGAACTAAAATGGGAGGTGCTGAGTCCTGCAATTCAGTTCACCCCGTTTTTCATTGTTGGGAGCTTGAGTGCTTCTTTTCACATGCAAAATGTCAAACGTTTCAGTCTTTGTTTACAATCTGATCGCGTGGACGTGTTGAGTGGCACATCAAGTTCCTTGCTACCTTTCTTTTGTTTTGTTAAATAGATTAGAATTGCTGTTCAAGAAATCCTCTTCAGAGTCACATTTTATTGTCTGTTTTTAAGTGCTAAAACATTTGGCTGGAATCCTAAATTGTTGTTTTTTTCTTACACGTTGTACCCTGCAGCCTAGAAAGTAAATATGTTTTTCTAGCTGTCTGATTGGTCACTGTAATATATGTTCTATCCCTCCTCCAGGAACTCGGATAATTTATGACAGAAAGTTCCTCCTAGACTGCAGGAACTCTCCCATTGCCCGGACCCCACCCTGTTGTTTGCCCCAGATTCCTGGGGTGACCATTCCTTCACACCATCCAATGTCCAAACTGCAGGAACTCAAAGAGGAGTTGGAGGAGGAGAATGATCTGGCAGGTAAAATTGCTGTCTGTTCCAGAAAAAAAAAAAGTTTCCTGGAAATTTTATTGCAGAACAGGTTTTCCTTTAAGCCCTCAGGTTTCTCCTGAAACAAATTATTTTTGTATATCCTGTCTGGTCTTTTTTTGTCTTGCAATTCTGAGTTTGTATTTCGCAAATGATTAAAAAAAAATTTTTTTTTTGTAAGACACTCAGAACTGTGATATAAACTTGAAATTGTGAGGAAAAACTGAATTATGAGAAGTTGCAATTACATTTTTTTTAATTAAAAAAATGAATAGCGGGATGTAATCTAGGAATTCAGAGAAATAAGGCCAGAATTGCAGGATATAAACTCACAATGCAAGGAAAAAGTCAGAATTGTGGGATAAAAGTCGCAGTTACAGAATTGTGATATATAAACTCAGAATTAAAATAGAGATATAAAGTCAGAATTACAAGACAAACTCAAAATTGCTAGGTAAAAAGTTTGAGCTGCAAGAAAAAAGTTGCAATTAAATTTTTTTTTTAAAGAAAAACAGAATTGTGAGATGCAATTCTGAGTTCATTTCTCTGAATTCTGAGTTTACAAGATATAAACTAGCTATAGCAAGGAAAAAGTTATAATTGTGAAATAAAAGTCAAACAATTGCAAGATTGAAACTCCGAATTCAGACAAAGTCAGAATTGCAAGCAAATTGTGAGAGAGTCACAATTGCTTTTTGTTGTGGGAACGTGCTTCCAAAGAATATCTCCAAGAAACACTCTAATCAACCTTTTTTTCTTTTAGCTGATGACAACCAGTTTGAAATGGACATTTGAGTCTTTCATCTACCTCCTGTGGAGAATTCTTTATATCTGTCGGGATGTTGCTGCTTACCCCACGATCAGCGGACATTACATATTCACCAGAGTGCAGGGCTTTTTAATGAGCTAAACACCCAAAGGGTGTCTTATTCTTTTGTTTAAAAGTATTTGTTTGGTGTTTACCAGAAAAAACACAATTCTTTGACAAGTGGCAATGTTTTAAAGTTCTTTATTGTACATATGGTACTTTTCTACTTTTTTTTTTTTTGAAAATGAAGCATTATGTGGGAGCCGGGCATGACCATGGCAAAATCTCTCATTTCTGAGCTTTGTATCTCCACAAACATTGCTTATTGTTTAATGGTAAATACCAACTATATGCCAAATGACTGTCTGTTGCATAAGTTTGGCGTTTCACCTGAAAAAGCACATCAGAACATAAATGTACACCATTGTGTGCCCTCAGGGTTTTCTTGGTGTTTCATTTGCCTGGATTTCCTCAGGTTTTATTATTTTGAATGAAATAAAAAAATGAGAAAAAAAATAGTTGTCGTTCGATCTGTTTATTTGGAAAATATCATACTGGGATACTGATATTCATCTTGCATTTCAAAATTTGCATAACACGGCTACAAAAACCATGGGAACGTCCCTCTACTGCTGAAGGCATGTGACTTGCATAAACTAAATTTACAGAAGGAATTGTCTGAGCTTAAATTAGACATTATGGTTGTCAAGGAACACAACAGCAAAACTGGCCATATGAAAAACTTGGAGCAAAACACTAGAAGATACATGTGAACCTCGTGGACAAAAGATGGATAACATTTGGGTTTTATGTCTCAAGTCTTTTATGCTCATCAAGGCTGCATTTTTTGATAAAGTGTAAACGGTAAAATTATAAAATATTTAAAACTGTTTTCTATTTTAATCATTTTAAGATTATTTAAAAGCTGAATTTTCAGCATCATTACTCCAGTCTACAGTATCACATGATCCTTAAAGTCATTCTAATATACTGATCTGATGCTCAAGAAACATTTTAGAACATTTTTGAAAACAGCTGTGCTACTTTTGTGGAAAATGCAATACAGAATTTACAGCATTACAACACACACACACAAAAAAACCACTAAACAGTAGTGTGTGCCCTATATACAGTACAGTATCTATAGGTTAAGCTGGTTAGCATGGCCTCTGCTGGTAGATGCTGTAACTACACACTATGTCATGCCACTTAGATTTCTTTCTAAATGTTGAACTTAAAACTCACTCCAAACCCTCTGCATATATCACCACAAGGGAAAAACATTTAGAAATATGACAACTGTAAAAAGTTTGCCGTTGCTTTAAATAGAATTTTAAGTTCTAACAAAAGCAGAAGTGAAAGATGCATGTGCTGTAGTAACTTTTCTCTTTATATAATAGGTTAAGTTTGGAACAAGACGCTTTATCCATGCATGTCCATCTAACGTGTTCCAAAACAAATTATTGCTGTCAGCTTCAGATACAAACTGGCCTAGTTTAACCAGCGACCTATTCTTTTATACTTCCAGCTGCCTCCATAAAACAATCCTGACTGTACACGCTTAACCTCACAACAACCTGGTTTCACTTTTCACTGTCACTTTGTACAGTAATAATGTTAAATCTTTCCAGCACTTCTTTTAGATAGTCATTCTAAATTCTTTAAATGCAAACTAGGGTTTGTTGGTTCAGAAAGACAATTATGCAAATTGAACGCAAAAGACTTAAGACAATAGACATCTTAAAAATCAAGTTTATTTCTTGAAATTTGTCCAAGACACTGGAGGAATGTGTATCCAGTGTTTCGAGAAAGAATCTTGTTACAGTTACCTGTGTATGTTTTGAGGTATAGTTGAATCACTATTAAAGCCACTCTTAAATATCTAACAAGACAGGAGGAAATCTCCCTAAAAGCAGTAGAGAGGGAAAAAATAAAATAAAAAGTCAAGTCACCAAGACTTGCCACTAACAGATTTCAATGGACAAGCTTACAATCGGAAGGAAATCCCTTTTTTCTCTCACCTTGAAGCCATGCAACTTTGCAACACAGAGCACAGGTGACACAGGGAAAAAAAATAATCTAGGAACACTAAAGAAAAATTAACCAACGGTTTATTTTGAAAGCATTTTGAGAGCTCTGAGCCTAGATGTGGTAGACACAGACATGATGTAAAATACAACCATTCAATAACATTAGATTCAAAAAGGTACCAAAAAGTACAGTAAAAAAATAACACTTCCATCTCTGGAAATGTAAAAAGGACACAACGAAAAAAAAAAAAAAAATTATAAAACAAATGTGAGAAGTGACATTTGGGCCCCCCCCCCCAATTCCTTATGTTTTCTGTACAAAATGAAGCAGAAGTCCAGATTCCGCCAACTTCCAAAAGTAAAAGACCCCAATGTTCACTGTGACCAGACTGCTGGTTCCTGCTCGGTAGCTTTACGACCTTTAAAAGAGAAAACACAGAGATTTAGCCGCATGAATCCATGTAAACTGTTAACATGTGAAAATAAATGAGGTGAATTGATGGGGGCCTATCATGATCTACTGCTACAACCCTACTGGACCACAAAAACCCACCCCCAATTGGATCACTCTATCTGCCTTATAGTTCGGCTGGGTAAATGGAGATGAATTGGTAATGGAGCAACACAGCCAAATTAACCTTACCATGAGTGGTGGGAAAAAAATAAAAAGTCATACCTGCACTACACATGATCAGTATGGCTTGTAGCTACTCTGGTGAGCCCCACGTCTTGGAGTTTTTCCATAGCTTGTATTGCCCTGGTCTAGGGGGGTAAGAGAAGAGCAGAGAAAGGAACTTGAGTCCCTTGCATTCACAAGAACCTGACGGGGGTGGGAAGGAAACCCCAAGGACAATCAGTGCTTACTGTAATCATATCCGCCGCCGTAGCCATAGTATCCACCCGAGTAATCATAGTTGCCGTAACCTCCATATCCACCATAACCTTGCTGGCCGCCATAGCCATAACCTTGGTTACCGTAACCTTGATTCCAGTAGTTATTGTAGCCCTGATTCCAGTTCTGACCCTGGCCTATAAAACAAATCCAAACCATTTTTAAACATCATGGCACAGTAATGTGCTGATATCTGTAAGCAACTAGTAAAACCATAAAGCGATTGGTCTCTACTCAAGCTTTGTGGGGCATTAGAACTGATTTAGATTAATCAGATCTGAGATCAGCCAAAGCTTTTAAGATAGATTACATCTGAAGACTTATACGCAAGAGGAATTACATTAAAATATCTGCATGAGAGCAATAAAAAATTCTGACAAGACTTTGTATTACAAATTTCTAATTCTATGAAGTTATCAGAAATTCAGATTCATCAGTATGTTTAAACCAGCCTCAGTCATAAACACGATCTGCTGTAGAGCTACTTATAGCAGAACTGAACTTGTTTCATAACTGCAGTAACTTTACATTTACTGAACTGAATCAACAACACTGAACTGACTTGGCTAACTGAATACGGCCTTTTTAGAGCTGAATTTGTATGTCATATTTGAAGTTCCCAGCATTGATTATTATCTTCCGGTTTATTACCATTAAGTGGTTTTGAAACCATTTGCATTGTATGAAGCTCTATATAAATAAGTGACTTGCCTCAGTTAACTCAACAGCATTCAATTCATACAGACACACAAGGGTGACTCCGTTGTTCTTCTAATGCATATCTCTGTACATTTATCTAGGTAAACTTTGCACAGACTAATGCAGCCTATAGTTTGAGTGGTGGGTGAGACAGTCCAACAGGAGAGAAGCATTCAGCGGTACTAACCTCCACGCCCCCTTCCTCTTCCTCCAAAACGACCTCCATACTGCTGCTGCTGGTACACTTCTTTTGGCTGTGCAATCTTAATCTCACACTGGGAAAAAGAAGAAAAAAATAAAATGAGTGATTGAAATCATAGTAGAACATCTGCATAAAACACTACCACTAAAATGAATAATCAAATAAGTAGCACAATGTCAAACAGCGAACAACAACCCTGAAGATGTGTCACAGTAAATTCAAGCTAAACTTCACACTGGTAACACTCACAAGGCCTTCTTTTCCATTTGTGTCCTTGGTTCCACTGACGTTGTGATATTTCTTTTCTACAACTTTCTTGACAGTCTCTTCTTCCTTGAAGGTAATGAAGACAAACCCTCTCCTCTTATTTGTCTTTGGATCCATTGGAAGTTCAATAGTCTCAATCTGCAGTGGCAAAAATCATCATGTTAACAAATGTGTACAAAAAAAATTTAATTGCCAAAACTAAAAAAAATAAACTTAAAAAGGCAGAAAAAAAAACTATGCACAGAAAATGTGCAAAGATCAAACTAGAAACTTTACATGGCCAACACAGTAATTGCATTATAACTGCACAAGCCACACGCATTTTTTCCAAGATTTGTTAAGCTTGCTTAAAACAATTGAAAGAAATTAAAAATCTATAAGGAACGCTTCAGTACCTCGCCAAAGGCACCAAAATACTCGCGGATCCTCTCTTCTGTAGTTTCGGGGTTCAGTCCGCCGACAAAGATCTTCTTAACGGGCTCTTTCTTCATGGCCATTGCCTTCTTGGGGTCGATCTGTCGTCCATCCAGTCGGTGCTCTTTTTGTGCTAAAACCTGTGCAAAGAGAAAAGACGATTTAGCTTACCATTGAAGAAATCACAAGACTTCAATTTTTTCTAAGCACCAAAGCTTACCTTGTCTACACTGGCTGACTCTTTAAAAAGAATAAACCCAAATCCCCTTGATCGCCCAGTGTTGGGGTCCATTTTGATGGTGCAGTCTGTCACCTCTCCAAATTTAGAGAAGTAATCTTTAAGATCCTTTTTACTAGTGTCCCAGCTGAGCCCTCCAACAAACATTTTCCTGAGGAAACGAAGCAGAAAATCAGAGTGAGACCAGGAGGGGGCGTGGAAGCACAGATTTCAGACATTTCCCCATTTCTTTCATTTAACCCCCCCTCCTCCCCCCACTACTAAACAGAAATAACTGCAACACGCCACAGATATATTAAGCGCACAAAAATACAAAAACGTTCGCTTAAGGAAACAATTAAGAGGCTCAACGGAGCATTTTAAAACCCCTGTCCGTGTTCAAGTCACCGTTGCGCCCATCCCCCTTCAAAAGACACATGGCGCCAACAAAGACTGGAAGGAACAAAGGATTTTACGTCCCAGCATTTAGCACAATTATGCCTTTAACGTACCCCGCATCTTCCTCTCCTTTGCTGGCATCAATCTGCCCTCCGTCCGATGAGCCATTTTGTGGGTCTTCCTCATCCCCGGCCGTGTCGTCGGCACCGGCGTCTCCCTGCGCCGCGGCCTGCGCTTCTCCGCTGCCTTCCTCGTACTGCCCGGCTCCGTTCAGATCGTCCTCGTGGCCGTTTTCTGAGGTTTCCATATATTGCTGCTCGGCGTCTGACATGGTGGTAGTTTAATGTGAAAACCTAAAACTGCAGCGAATGTGAAATGGTTACTAAAGGAAGCACC